CCAACTGAGTGTGAAAAATTCTAAAACTTCCTGTGATGTAGAATCAATATGTCTAAAACCAAACTTACCATCTCACCACCCCACTTCCCCCCAGTTAAGTAGTTCATGACCTCCCTGTCTCAGATGCTCTTCTTCTGGTTATCCTGGCTTTATTTTTTTTTAAATTTTTTTATTGTTTTGTTAATCACCATACATTACATCATTAGTTCTTGATGTAGTGTTCCATGATTCATTGTGCATAACACCCAGTGCTCCACGCAGTTATCCTGGCTTTAAATCCTCAGTCAACTTTAACATTTCCTTCTCCTTTAACAAAGTATTCCATCAAATTTCATGATTTGTTCCTCTATAGTTTCTCTTGTATTCTCAGTGAAACAGGTCCTAAATGGTTAGAATTATTTGTACTTCATATATTTGACAACTTCTTCAGTCGCTATGCCTCAGTTTTTGTTCATTCCATTCAACAACTATTGAGTGCTTACTATATGCCAGGCAGTTTAAACAGCTGGATATGCAATTGTGAACAGTACAAAGATCCAGCTTTCATGGAACCACATTCTAATAGGGAAAAGAATCAATATGGGGCTATGTAGTAGTACATGTTCTGAAGAAAGACAAAGCAGAGTACGAGGACATAGAGTGATGGAGGGTGCTATTTTAGAGGAAGTGGCTAGGGAAGATCTTTTTGAAGACTAAGGATTGAGCAGAGAATTGAACAAAGTAAAAGAACAAGCCATGAAGATCTGGGGAAAGTGGGTTCCATGTGGAGGGACTGGCAGGTGCAAAGGCCCCGCAATGGATTAAACTTGGTGTGTGTGTGTGTGTGTTCGTTCCAGGTGTGTGTGTGTGTGTGTGTGTGTGTGTGTGTTCATTCCAGGTGTGTGTGTGTGTGTGTGTGTGTGTGTGTGTGTGTGTGTGTGTGTGTGTGTGTGTTCGTTCCAGGAACTCCAAGTCTTCCAGTAGGACTACAGAAAAGGAAGGGAGTGGCAAGAGGTGATGTTGGCAGGGAACAAATCATAAGGCTACTACAGGCCACAGTAAAAGTGTGGATTGTAATCTAAACGTAGAAGATTTGAAGCAGGAGAGTAACATGATCCACCTTAATATTTTAGGAGCATCACTCTGGCTGGTTGAGAAATAATAGGTAGGTGGGCAAGAGAAGAAGCAGGAAGACCAAATGTAGGTTCCATTCACAGTGTAGGAGAGAACTGCAAGTAGCTTGGACTAGGGTGGTAGTGGAGGAAGTGCTGGAAATGGGCAGATCCTGGGTGTACTTTGAAGGCAGAGCAGCAGGAACTGCTGATGGATTGGGTGCACGGTGTGACAGAGAGGAGTCAAAGATGGCTGAGCAGTAGACGGATGGCAGTGTCTAGGAGGAGCAGTCTGGCTTAGGTTGAGGGATGATGGTTGGGTACATGATGTGTATTCAAGAGTTCTGTTCAGACATTTTGGATTATCTATATTGAGATGTCTCCATTTCCTCCTCATTTCAATATCACAGCCACATTAAGCTCCCTAAAATAAAAATTTCAACATGTTATTCTCCTATCCATAAACCTTCGACAGAATCCTATAGCCTACTGAGTGAACTCTGAACTCCTATGACTGGAAGTCAAAATTCTTCACAATGACCTATCTCCCCAACTGTCCCCACCTCATTTTTCTGTATTCCTCATAGTGCCTGGAAAATAAGAGTATATTCAATAAAATGTCAAATGAATAAAAATATCTGGTTCATCCTTTACCCTATTTGAAAGTCACACTTAAAGCTGACCTCTTTAATGAAATTTTTCCCAATCACATTGGCTATGTCACTCTCTATTCTATACTCCCACCCAGTGGTTAAGTCGGTAAGTATGTAATAGCTCTCTGAAAAATAAAGCCCTGATGTGTAGCACGTGCTGGTACTGTGTTGTAAATACTCCCACCATCGATGACTGCTAGCCACCAATATGTCCCGGAATATGAAGTTAAGAAGGCCTGCACACAGTCAGGGCTATGTGAGCTGGGAGGAGCCAGATCCAGCACATCACTGCTCCTAGAGTACAAACTGTCCAGACCATTTATGGTCACTCACTGCAGTGACTTTTACTGTAGGTAAAATGCTATCAGATTGGAGGTATGTGGAGGCTAAAAACTGTGTCAGACACACGGTGGCTATAACCCCCGAAATAACCTTGGGCTTCAAAGCTCAAAATGAAGTCAGACCCACACTACAAAGTCCCACAGTTCTATGTCTGAATGATTGTCTCACAAATTTCTCAGTCCATGGATCTGAATGAGGGAATTGGAATATTAAGTCATCATACTGGACCTAAAATAAAATTTGCCCTGAAAAAGGTGAAATAAAGGAATATATGATGACATTTTAGGATCACAAACAGAAAATATGATCACAGAGCACTCTCTATGCTCACTTTTTTTTAGACAGAGTTGAAGAGTAAAAATGTAGTTCTTTTGCTTTAAAGGAATTCAAATGCACACTGATTAGCCCAGGAAGTATACCTAGTTTTTGGACTAAGGGGTAATCAATGGACAGAAAAGAAGAACACAATGAAACATTAAAAAACTAAAAATATGAAGTTAGACTCTGATCAGAGCACAGAATAAAAATAATAGCTTTGGGAAATTTTGATAAAGAACATCTGACTGAAGAACAGTGAAACTCTTATGCCTTTCTTTGTCCATTTCTTGATAGGTAAGTTTAAATCAAATTTAACTCTCAAGAGATTAAGTTCAACATGAAAGATAAATTATTTCTTCTTGGCTCTATGCAGAATGAAATACAGGTAAACCAAGGCACAAAAATAGACTTGTGTTCAGTTCACTCAGAAATAGTTAAAATATGTGAAAACACAGATCCTCTGATACTTTTCACAATGTATGTTTCTGCCTAAGGTCTGGCTCTTCCAGTTCTGTTCTCCACTCTTACTCCTTAAAGGTCCCAAAGCCCAAGCCAGATGTGGTTTCCCGAAGTGCAGAAGGGTGCTGGCAGTGCTAGGAACAAGGGGAGGGGTGAGGCCAGTAGTAATACGTAGAGTGAGGTGGCTGTAGGGCTCGGAGCTGGGGGCGGACAGTATGAGGACCAGGGTTCAGCAGGAATCAGGCAAGTGGGAAGTAGGAGAGCAGGCACACCACACTGGCCCTAGGAATCCATCCACAATAATCAAGAGAACAAGATCCAAAGGGCCAAGGAGGGAGGGGTCCTTTGTCCATAACAAAGTTGTATTAAGAAAGACTGCTGGTCCTGCTAGAAGTTTCTGTCCTCTGACATACTTGGAAAGAGTGCAACTTTGATAACATAATACCCACTTTCACTTCAGTGTGGAATCGTCTGTTCAACTGTTTTCCTAACTTTCTTCACGTACATAAAATCCCAAAGATGTAACAGCTATTTTCCAGTTTATCTACGGGAATGTGTATGCCCTCTAGATTTTAGAAGTGGGGAGAGGGGAAGATATTATCATTTTGGAAATAGGACTGATGGCATAGAGCAGCACAGAACAGCTTCATCTTTGGAGGCAATTAATTCCTGGTTATATTGATATTTATGGTTAATCTGATCAAAAAATTATTTCTGTAAAGTTGGCAAAATTGGAGCCATTATGTAATAAATTACTTTACGACACAACTAAAATAATAGGCAAAACATTATGTCCTCTCAGGAATAATCAATGCAGAACAGATATTGGTAAAAGAAAAAAAAAAGAAAAAATATCAGAGAAGCATGGATGAAATCTGACTATTTTAAGAGAGATTACATGAGTAATGAAATAATCTAAGAGAAAACAGGTGGGAGAAGTGGTAGGTCCTCTTTAGAGTGCCAAGTTCAGCCAAAAAATGTCTGTGTCAATACTTTGTGATTAAAAAACAAGGCAGACTCTCAGGGGTATTTTTCATTTTTATCATACAAGTGAACTAATCTTTTTAAGTATAGAACATCATAGAAGAGTAGTACCACTCTACCCAGGAAAACTGTCCTTCTAGGTCTCTAAATAGGAATGAAAATAAGTATACATAAGGTAACCAATAAACAATGCTAACCTGGTGCCCAACTTCTAGTGAGAGTTGTTTTCTTTTTGTCTGAATTTCAAAGATTTCAAATTTATTCACAAAAATTCACACTTCCTTTTCAGGGTAACATTATTAACTATTATGAAAGATCAGACACAAATCGGCAGGCGCCAAGTACTCTTGAAAGATACTGCATGTATGTATCCTCTGTAATAAGTTATCTTCCAGAAAGTCTATCCTGTTTATTTTGAAATTCATCATGATCACAAATAGAAAGATAATAGTAGATTTCTAGCACTAAATTATGGAGCTGCTTCTTGTCCAAGTTCTGTACTTGCTTATCAACTAGTGACTCATGCAGTCAGTCTTATTTAATAACAGGCTTTGCAGGAGAGTGCTAAGAATTCATAAATTTAGAAGTTGTGTAAATGAGTGAAAATTCATTTAATTATAGTTATAAATGGAAATAAGTGAACCTAACATAAGAAGATAGATTTAGGACATAAGATAGACTTAGGGATATCACTACCTTTTGTTGATAACATTTTGAAGTGTAACAGGCAACATCCTTCTGCTGAGAAAGAAGTAAACTCACTTCTGGTACGGCTTTAGGCACTCAGGATGCATTTAATAAATTTTACCTTCTGGGGCCCAAGTGATAGCTAATGGCTTGAAAAAAGATTTTATACTTTCAAAATATGGGTAACTTTTCCATTTAAAAGTCTCTAATGTGGTCAGTTCAAATATTAAGCCAAAACCTGTAAATTCTTCTCAGAATTTAGGACTGCATTGGTAACATTATTTAGTAGAATGTTTTCACAAGTTAATAAATATATCTCCTTGATTTTATACATTTTTAAAATTTTAAATTTGCTGTATGAAAAATAACAAAATACAGTGAATTAACATATAATGTTTTATAATGTTTTCCTGCCTAGAGAATGTCAAGGAAAATGAACCTTCAGAATGTAGAGACTATTAATTACCTGGTTTAAGAGATCTTCTACTTTCTTCTGCCATGAATCCCTGGCTGCATTTTTTTCTCGCTCCTTTAACTGCAAAAGTTGAGACATGGCTGACTTCTTATCCTCTTCATGTTGAAGTCTTAACTCTTCACGAAGTTTAGAACACTCCTGTCTAAAATAAAACGAATGCCTTTATTTTTAAAGAGAATTATTCCTCTCAGTAGCTATAGTATAGTTGTTCACGGTTTTTTTTTAAGTAATTAATCCTCAAAAGTCAACTCAGAATAAAAGCGGTTATTTTTTAGTCAGGTTTACAGGACTGTAAGGTAAACTGGTAACTTACCTAAGATTATTAGTTCATCAGCTATTAATGGCAGAATAGGTATTAGAATAAATTATTTATTTATTTAATATAATATATTAGAATAAATAACCTCTGACCTGAGGTTAGTATTTTGTAAAGAAAATAAAATCAGAAAAAGTATTCAGCCAGAAAAGGAGAATAACAATTTCTCTACATCAGGAAAAAAATTCATTAAAAATGCTGTCACTATGATTTTAACAATAAGACAACATAAGCCATATAACAGGAAAACATTTTTGCACATCTGTATTGATAAGATTACATTACAGAGTAAAAAATGTACCTAAGGTTTTCAGTCCATTTTATTTCTAAGTCATGGGCCATTCTGTCCACTCTGAGCTTCTCTTCCTCTTTCATGGCAGCAAGTGTTTCTTCATGCTGTTGCCTTGCTTGTTCTAGCTCACCCTGAAGAATAAAAACTTTTCAATGAAAACAAGTCTTCAAAAGCAAAGTCATTGCTGGTTATTTCAAATAAGCAGAGCACTTGCATTATAACTTAAATTCCTACAGCACAATAAGTGATAGTGCTATCTGTAACGATTACTGGAAATTTTCAGATAATATATGGCACATATATTTTAAATGTCCTTGTGCAAACTATATTTCATTAAGGCTTATAATTTTACAAATCATTTTGAATAGTTTAAAGCTAGCATAATAAATAATCGTAACTTTCCATATCATGGGTATCTATTATCTTCATATAAAAATATACACATTACATAGATATGGTATTCAAATTCATTTTTATATTCAAAAGTCTGCTGTTTATTGAAAACTGAAGCATTATAGCTCTACCTCACTGACACGATTAAAATAAGTGATAATACTATATAGATGAAATACCTGTGGCTCTCTGGAGCCCAGTGCTAGAGGTGACCTGTTTGGACAACACGGCAACCCTGGGGCCCTGCCGGCCGTGGAGCTGCTCTTCGGCTACAACAGATGAGGAACAGATGATGGTGCTTCCTTCTGTTGTAACAATGACCCTTTCTGGATCATCCACTTACTAAGAGCACGTGTCAGAGCATTGCTGAAGGGCATATCCAGATTAATGGGAGAGAAGAACATCATTGTCGAAGCTGCCATTCTCCATTGCTGACCTGGCTATAAACAGTAAACTCTGGGAAAACTGGATCTGGCCATCTTAGCCAATGGTCCTTTTCACTAAGTATTCTGCCTCTAGGAACTACTACTTTTTCCATCACAGGCAGCATTAAATGGGGTAGAATACTTAAAAAGTATTTCTTTTATTGAATGCAAAGTACTTTATTAGACATCAGTGGGTTAAGGAAAGAGATAAAGAAAATACTTGCTTTTTTTTTCAAGTGTTCCATATCCATCACCTCCTGGGATCCTCATAACAACATGGGGAGGTGATAGTGAGGAAACGGGAGCCTCAGCAAGGTTTAGTAATGCCAGAAACTATAAACTCCACACTACAGATTTGCAACTGTTAAACTAATATTATTATTATTGTCATCAGTATCTTACCCCTTATTTACCAACCATGGCCTAAGGTGTCTTAAGGGGAGAGTCGCCTTACCTGTGACTGGATCCCCCACAGGTACCAACAAACAAGTTGACATATATAGTCAGGGACCAATATTCACTTGATGATGGGTTCAGTTTTATAATACACAACAGAAACTCAGCAGGGAGGAGGGGGAAAAAACTCCCATCCAGACAGAACACCTGTTAAGGAGCCTTCCTAAAGTTGTGGTAAACTGTGATGCAGCACCTACATTTTCTTGATTAAAGTTGTCCAGCAGAACAAAAGATGAACAGTTGCTAAGGTTTTGCTTACAGTTTTTATTAAGTTCTACTACTTGATAGAAGAGCAATGTAAATATGTGCAAGAAACTTAAAGAAATGAAACTGATTCAAATTCCAAGCTAAAAAATTTAAATTTGAAATATTAATAAAAGGCCACATTTCCTGAGTGCTTACTATTTTACTAAGCACTGTGCCGTAAATGGTTTACCTCATTTAATTCTTACAATAGTGGCATGAGGTGTATTACTATCCCCCGCCACTCCTGCATTGTGCAGGTGAGTAAATTGAGGGTTAGAATAAATAACTTGTCTGAAGTGACTAAGTGGTGGATCAAGAATTCACACCCAGCCAATCTGACGTCAGGGCCCACACTCTGTCACCTCTCTGAAGGAAAAGTAAGAACTCTCTGGATACTATCCTCTTAGTTCTTATGGATGCTTTTCTCTACTTTCTGAGGCAATGTAAATATTTGCTCTGCTCCCTGAGAATGGAAGGCCACAAAATTTCAAAATTTGTAGGTCATAGAGAATTGCTTTGTTGCTATACATGAGAGTTCGGACTCTTACCAATAAAAGAGTTGTGCATCCTAATTGTTATGGTTTGAATTGTGATCCCAAAGAGATATATGGAAGTCCTAACCTCCATGTACCTCAGAATGTGAACGTATTTGGAAATAGGATCAGTGAAGATGTAATTAGTTAAGAGGAGGTCTTACTGGAGTAGGGTGAGCCCCTAGTCCTAGGTGAAGGGTATCCTCCTAAGAAGACATGGTGAGGACACAGGAAGAATGCCACTGACCACTGAGGAGGAAACTGAAATGTGCCACCAACCAAGGAAGGCCTGGGGCTACCAGGGGCTGGAAAAGGTGAGGAAGGATTCGCCCTCCTAGGCTGAAAAGGGAGAATGGCCCTGACAACACCTTGATTTTGGACTTTCAGCCTCCAGACTGTGAGAAAGTAAATTCCTGTTGTTTTAAGCCACTTAGTTTTAGTACTTTGGTAGGAAAGCCCTGTGAAACTAATACACTCCATACAATGTGATATTTAAGCAAAGTAAATATTTTTACCTTGCTAATGTTTAGATTATAGCAGGTATTCTAAAATTACCTCAACATTTAATAGAGCATCTTTGGTCTCCTTCAGCCTGCCTTTAGTCAAGTCGAGCTCATTCTGAAGTCTCTCCTGGGAGTCCTGAAGACTAGCAATGAGGCCTTCTGCAGAGCCAAGACCTTGTTCACTTTTCTTCACCAGATCTTGGAGGCGGCCAATCTGCAAGTACACACAGTACTTTTAATATACTTCATTGTTATTGACCAGCAAAACAGCCAAGTTTTTTTTCTTAAAGTCTTTTCTTTAGTGGTAATTTTACTGAATGGATCTTTTTTGATGAATTTGGAAGAAGCACTCAAATAATCAGGATAGCTTTCATCTGTTGTTGTGTGTGTGTGTGGTTTTTTTTTGTTGTTTTTTGCAAAGACCTCCATATTTATGATTTCCCTCTTTCATGACAACCATGTGAATAAGTGGATAACTCAAGTCCCCATTTTAACAAAGAGAATTCCTGGTTCTATCAAATAATCAAATGCCTCCAAAATGGAACTGGAACAAGATGAAGATTATATCAAAGACAGAGGGGAAAAAAGTATTTTTTTAGATAAAAATATTTTTAAAACTGCTCTTTAAAATGGAATCACTTATACTTCATTTGAGCCCACTTCTCCTGCTGGTTATAAAAGTGACTGATTTAGGTCAATACTGACGAGCTGCGAAATGCATATTAGAATAAGTTGTGATTTCTTCGTTTCCATACAAAATTTCCTCATGAAGTTAAGAGTTGAATTTATACACTCTTGAAATTAGGGGCTAATAAGACAATTTGTTGATTAGGCAGACCCATATCTTCAAGTTATGAGCACTAAAACCAATAAATGAAATACTTTATCTAGGAAAGTGTTATGAAGTAAAAATCTCCTTTTTATAAAACAGCCAATCTTATCAAAACTCTATAGGAATGAAAACTGCTAATTTTAAAATAACACCTGAAAATTCCCCTTGTAAATACAGGCATCACAAGGAAAACTGCAAACATTCTCTTTCAGCCTCCTCTCAATTCACCACCCCTCTGCCTGTTCCCCTTCCATGCAGATGTTTATATACTGAACAATTCTGGCGAAGGTAACATTTTATCTTGTTAGTATCTTTAAAGGGATGCCTACCTTATACAATGAGCTGGGAAGCTTCCATTTTTTCTGGGCTCTGAAATATTTTCACAGTTACAATTTATCTGTTCCTTAAAATTTTAATAAAATTCACTCATTAAAATCCTCTGGGCCTAGTGCCTCTCTAGATACATGTTGGGAGTATTTATTTCATGGTTATAATTGGTTCCATCAGATTGATCAACTGCTTCAAGTCACTTTAGAAATTTAAAATATTATACAAAGACATCTTTTTTTCTGATTTAAAAAATGTAATAGCATATTTGCATATAATATTCATTTACCATGTTTTAGAATTTTCTTTGTCCCTGAATTTATACCCCCTTTCTCTAGTCTATCTGGCTTATTTGTTATCTTCCCTGCTTTTTATGTTGCTCTGGCTTGCCATAAATGTGTTACAGGGGTGAATGAATAATATAAGGTGTAACAGAGTTAAACAGTATTGAACCTGGGGCATCTGCTAGCTCAGTCTGAACCCTTGGGGTTGTGAGTTTGAGCCCTACCTTGGGGGTAGAGTTTACTTTAAAAAAAAAAAAAGAGTATTGAACTTAGTAAAAAATCTAGTTTCAAGTTCTTGGTCTGCTACTATAAAATAAGAATAATAATACCTACCTCACAGTTATTATAATATTTAAATTCAAGGATATACAGGAAAAGATTCTTTAATTAGAAAGCAACATACAAATATCAGGTACCAATCAGTAAGGAGGGGACGGCCAAATTTATCAACATGGAGAAAAATTTTGTTGCACAATCCAGATAATTTTCAAATGAATAAGATTACATGTACAAATGGAATACATGAAAAAACTTATAGAGAACAGTATTCTAGTTATTACACAAAGAATTAAAAGAGAAAGTCTGTTCAAGAAACTAAGTAATTAGAGACAGAATGAACTTTTAAATGGACAAAAACTTTAAAATGCTGCACAATTAAACATAAGCAAGTAATAAGTAACGAACACAACTAATTAAATTTTGTTTTCATATAATATAATAAAAGTGGATATGTAAGGAACACATCTATTGTCTCCCAATATCAAAATCTCTTTTTGTCATGTGGGGCATCTACCTTTCTTCCCTATGGGTCCATGTCAACCCAAACCCAGGAATGAACCTGGCACTCCCTTGAAGCATAAACCAGTTAGGTAGTCTCATTCTGTTGGCCATGGGGACTGGTTCAGAGGCAGGCACATGGTTTAAGTTCCTCTACTCACAGTGATCTCCGGACTTTTACAGGAGTTCCTAAAAAAGGTCTTTTTCCAGTAGCACATATAACCTGAGAGAATGTATTGAGAATGTATGACAAATCCAATTTGAGAAAAAGAGAAGCCGACTTCCAGCGTAAACAATTTCAGTTCTGAATCTGGTCATGCCTGATGCTAACATTCCCCTGGACTTTTCCAGTCAACATGATTCGGTAAATGTCCATAGGCTGGTTTGAGCTGGGATTTCTGTCACTTGCAGTAGAGATCAATCCTCTGATTCCTCTTGAACATTGAGGGAATAGAAATCTCTTCCCTGGAATATTCACTCATGCATGCTCTTCTCTGATCCAATCTCCTTGCATTGCCTGTGTCAGTTTTTTATAAATTACAAATATGGACATGAGTATAAGCCCTGAGACCAAGCAAGCATCCACTTATTTGTACTCAGCGTCTTCCAAATGCTTCGTGTTCCTCTTAAGATAACATCCAAAATCTTTCAAGGGCTTACAAGGCCTCCAAGGCCAAGCCCCTGCCTCACTCTCCAGCCTCGGCTTGGCAGCTCCCCTCCTCGGTCTTTATGCTCCTTGGGAAAAGTAGCACTGCAGTTAAGAACTGAATTCTGAAATCCACTGCCAGGATTGGAATTCTGGTTTTACCCACTTACTATGTGACTGGGCAAGCTCCACAGCTTTTTTGTAACTTGATAACTAGTAATTAGAGTATGGAGTTATTGAGAGAATTAAAGGAAAAAAACAGTATAAAGGAGAGACTATATAAAACAATGCCTGGGACATAGTAAGAACTAAGTAAATATGAATTATTATGATAGTTGCAATCACAGTTCCACCCACAATGACATCCTTCAATTCCCAGAAAATTCTTGTGCCTCAGGGCCTTTGCAGAACCTTTCCTCAGTTCATTCTTGTGGCAAAGCCCTGTTAATCACCACCATTTTACAATATTTGTCAGACTTGTTCTTGTTTCTAAATTTCTTCTATAAACAGTGCTGAAATTTTGTCAGTAGTATTTAATTATTTGCTTCTGTTAAATACACTGAAATGCAGAAGTCAAAGGGCATGCCCATCTTTAAGGCTTTTAATAGTGCTAAATTCTTTCCAGGAAAATTATACAATTTTATATTCCCATCAGCAGCTTTTCGTGCTTATTTCTTTACCCTTATCAACACTTCATGGTCTCAATTTTTATCATTGTTAATTTTATGGTAATGGGAATGGCATCTCATTAGTTTCATTTCCAGTTTTTAAATTGTAGCGCTTAAAATTATTTTTTTTCATGTTCTCCTTTAGCTCATTAAAAAAATTAGGGTAGCTGTATTTTTTAATGTTTTGTATACATCTTTAAGGTGTTAAAGACATGAATTTTGTTACTCATACACCTTGCCAATCACTTATTCCACCCCTCCCTAATTTTTCCTCTCTCACAATTTTACTTATGGTGTGTCTCGATATACAAAAATTGTAGCTTTAACTGTACAAATATTGTGTTTTTAGTTCCTAACATTGCCGTCATGTGTCAAAAGGCCTTCCTTGTCCTAAGGTTTGTCACTTGCACTTTCATATTTTATTTATATTCAGGATATTACATTTCAACCTGAGCCCATCCAGAACATCTCTGGTATAAGGTTGAAGAAGAACTTCATTTTTCTCTCTTCTTCCATTGATGTAGTCTTAAAAGAACAGTTTCAGATTAAACCCGTTAAATCTAACGTCTTTCCCACTCTTCCACTGACCTCGTAGGAAGGTCCTCAGAGAACCCTTGATGGCGTGACCTCTCCAGGTCTCGTACTTCGGCTTCTAATCATTGTGTGACAGTGTGAGGCACTAGGCACTTCCAACTCTTGAAAGTATCTGTTCTCATGTTTTTCTCATTCCCACTAGTTCTCATTCTCACGCTTCTGATTTCTCCTTCCCCACCTTTTTCCCTGGCTCTGTTATCTCAGTACTGGTGCTACTGGTGCTCCTCTTTGTTACCAGCAATCTTCTGGTGAGCTCTTCGGTGTTAATGGCTTCAGTGACTGCCTAATCTTTAGCTCTAAGCCCGAACCCTCTGCTTAGTTCCAGCCTAGATGTCTTACAATCCCCTTAGGTCCAAACAACTCAGTGTCTTGCCATTCCTATGGATCTGTCCTCCGGTAACACCCAGCTTCCCAGAGTGGCATAATTACCTCTCCAAACACCTGAGCTAGACACCTGAGGCTTTTTCTACCACTTACCACATCAAGTCCTGTAAATTTTATTTTTTAATAATCTTCTCCACTCCCAGGTTTTGCCTTCCTAGTCAAGAAGCTAATCAACTCTTGCCCAGACTATAGCATCTTAAGTCATCTACCCAACTCTAATTACCAGTCCCCTCCCATACAACTCATCCCCCTACTGCCACCAGGATTCTTTTCCTGGGACCATCTGAGAGCGGCAGCTGCTGCCCTGCTGCTAGCACTCGATCATCAGGATAAATTCTGAAGTCTTTGCTACGGCACAAGAGTCACTCATAGTTTAGCTTCAGCTTCCCTTTCGATCACAGTTCCTGACAAGTGCCATATCATCAAGTACACTAATTCTCAACCACGGTCACTTCTGCCCCCAAGGACTGTGTCTGGTTGTTACAACCGAAGGGGAACGGTTGTGGCACACACTACTAGTATTTAGTATGTAGAGACCGGGGATACTACTAAACATCCTAAAGAATGATCTGCCCAATCAGTAGTGCTGGGGTTGAGAGACTATGGTGTAAGGACACTGAACTGTCTGTCTATGGCTCACCAGGGTGAGTACCTACATGACCATACTTACACCGTTCTTTGTACCCATACTGTCTTCATCAC